ATTCGTACGGAAGGCGATATATTGATATCCTTGCCAGATTCTCAAGAAAACAGAAAAGACAGATATCCAGCTTTATGTCTCTATGGAAACACGACAGGTACCCTTACGAGGGGAGAGTATCAACTCGGCGTTTATAAACCCTCTCTGCAAAGGAGGTAGACGCATGTTGGGTTAGGTATATACAGTGTTCTTCATTGCAGAGAAAATTGTTGTTTATCTGCCTGTCTCGTCTTCATTGAGATAGTTGATGAATTGATGAATTACAAAATTATATCGCGTTCCAGTTATGAATGTTGAAAACAATATCCAGACTTTTCATAGATTCATATTCTATGTAGGTCTCACGATTCCAATTTGAAATTGATACTTATTTTTAGATCTGAGCAGCACATTGTTTGGCCTTCAAGGTCCTTAATATTACCCACTTAATTGAACATGTGGAAGATGCCTACTAGAGAAACCACTATACGGAAAGAAAGCGGATATGTAGCAATCTAGTTACGGACGTTGAAAATAACATTCAGGTATATCTCAGATTCAACATCATTGTATTACCTCTAATGATATTTCCTGATTCAAATGTACTTCGATTTGAATGTGATGTTTCGTTGCAGATCCAAAAAGCAGTGTTTGATACTTGCCACTCAATCGGAGGAAACCATCCAGTAAATACGGTCCAAACAGAAGATCCGCAACGCGAACTGACCAGAGTATACTTTATAGAATTCAGATCATTATATTCGTACGGAAGGCGATATATTGATATCCTTGCCAGATTCTCAAGAAAACAGAAAAGACAGATATCCAGCTTTATGTCTCTATGGAAACACGACAGGTACCCTTACGAGGGGAGAGTATCAACTCGGCGTTTATAAACCCTCTCTGCAAAGGAGGTAGACGCATGTTGGGTTAGGTATATACAGTGTTCTTCATTGCAGAGAAAATTGTTGTTTATCTGCCTGTCTCTTCTTCATTGAGATAGTTGATGAATTACAAAAATATATCGCGTTCCAGTTATGAATGTTGAAAACAATATCCAGACTTTTCATAGGTTCATATTCTATGTAGGTCTCACGATTCAAATTTGAATTGATACTCAGTTTTAGATCTGAGCAGCACATTGTTTGGCCTTCAGGGTCCTTAATATCACCCACGTAATTGAACATGTGGAAAATGACTACTGGAAAAACCACTATACGGAAAGAAACCGGATATGTTGCAATCTAGTTACGGACGTTGAAAATATTATTCAGGTATGTCTCAGATTCAACATCTATGTATTTCCTCTAATGATATTTTCTGATTCAAATGTACTTCGATTTAAATGTGATGTTTGGTTGCAGATCCAAGAAGCACTCAATCAGAGAAAACAATCCAGTAAATTCGGACCAAACAGCAGATCCGCAAAGAGAACTGACCAGAGTATACTTTACAGAATTCAGATCATTATATTCGTACGGAAGGCGATATATTGATATCCTTTCCAGATTCTCAAGAAAACAGATGAGACAGATATTCAGCTTTATGTCTCTATGGAAACACGACAGGTACCCTCACGAGGGGAGAGTATCAACTCGGCGTTTATAAACCCTCTCTGCAAAGGAGGTAGACGCATGGTGGGTTAGGTATATACAGTGTTTTTCATTGCAGAGAAAATTGTTGTTTATCTGCCTGTCTCTTCTTCATTGAGATAGTTGATGAATTGAAAAATTACAAAAATATATCGCTTTCCAGTTATGAATGTTGAAAACAATATCCAATATTCTATGTAGGTCTCACGATTCAAATTTTAAATTGATCCTTAGTTTCAGATCCGAGCGGCACATCGTTTGGCCTTCAAGGTCCTCAATATAACCCACGTACGTAATTGAAAATGTGAAAGATGCCTACTGGAGAAAATACTATTCTGAAAGAAAGCGGATATGTAGCAATCCAGTTACGGACGTTGAATTTATAATTCAGGTATGTTTCAGATTCAACATCCATGTAATTCATCTAAAGCGGATATGTAGCAATCCAGTTACGGACGATGAATATATTATTCAGGTATGTCTCAGATTCAACATCCATGTAATTCATCTAATGATATTTTATTTTCTGATATGAATGTACTTCGATTGATATGTGATGTTCTGTTGCAGATCAGAGCAGTATTTGATACTTGCCACTCAATCGGAGAAAACCATCCAGTCCATACGAACCGAACAGAAGATTCACAAAGTGAAATGACCAGAGTATACTTACGGTGACTAGTTATTTTATATACTTGGTATATTATGATTTGATAGTCCGACATTGATGTGACATTTTTATAATATAGCACAACTGAAAGTTTTATAATTTGTATCAATTCGAATTTGGTGACCCCAACGTGATATTATGGAGCAGTTGAGCGGAGGAGAGATCATACAAACTTTAAGACATTTCAACATCCATGTTACTGATTCCATGAAATTTTCGGATATGAAGGAAGTGCTGACAGAGTACATTCAAACAACTTATAAGGACCAATTCCACGAAACCGATCATACCAAATGATGTTTCGAATACTATTTTTACGAAGAAGATCGATAGACTTGAAATATTGTGCGAAATTCTGATCGTCAAATTTGATGAAAATAATAAAAAAATATGATTCGTTGGAAGCAAGACTCGATATTTTGGAAAAACATCGTGAAAGTTCAACATTTTCAAACAATATCATGTTTCATGACATCATCTCCTCAGAAGACACAACAACTGGACATTCCAAGAAAGAGCAAGAATCAATTAAATCAATTAACCTACCAACTTTCTGGAAACATGAGCCTGCATTATGCATTATGCAAATAAATTTGGGAAAGTGATTTCAATGTTGGACTGCAATATTGCGCTCTGGGTTGGTTTTGTAGGTCTCTCTGTATATGTTTTTTTCCTAATATCCATTCGTCTCAAACACACAGTGTATTTTTCAAAAATTCATCGATAAGATTTTAATCTGCCGCTGGTTTTTCTGCTCACCCTGTAATAAATTATAATATTCCATTTGGTACAAGAAATTTGATCTGCCTCTGGAATTCAGCTCGCTCTGTATATGATATTTCTAATATTCATTCAGCTCAAACGCACTGAATATTTTTTCAATTTCCATCAATAAGATTTTGATCCGGCTCTGATTCTTCAGGCCACCCTGTGATAAATAATAATGTTCCATTTGGTTCAAGATATTTTAACTGTTTTTTAGCATAGAACTTTAGTCAATGATGGTTTGAAAACATATTCGATATTACGTCATGATTTACATGGTCGCCAAAATGTCATATTTTTGAAATAAATTTCGTCATTCGTCAGCTGTCATTTGGTTGTTTTTGTTTTGTTTGTTGACTACCACAGAAACCACTAGCCAGAGCTATTTTTTCAATTTCCATCAATAAGATTTTGATCCAGCTCTGATTCTTCAGGTCACCCTGTGATAAATAATAATATTCCATTTGGTTCAAGATATTTCAACTGTTTTTTAGCATAGAATTTTAGTCAATGATGGTTTGAAAACATATTCGATATTACGTCGCCAAAATGTCATATTTTTTAAATAAATTTCGTCATTCGTCAGCTGTCATTTGGTTGTTTTTGTTTTGTTTGTTGACTACCACAGAAACCACTAGCCAGAGCTGCACTTTTTCGTATTCAAGTTTGAACAGAAAACTATGAGGAATACCAACAACAAAAGCAACAGTTAATAATGACAGTTGACAGCATCGAATCATTCAATTCCGTCGTTTCAAAACAGTGCCAAGTGGTTTGAAATAATTCTCCGATGACGTCATCGTTTCAATGCTTAAATGCAAAGTTTTTAAACCAGACCAAATATTTTTAAAGAAGTGGAACACTAAAAAACGGCTTTTATCTGCCTCTGGTTTTGTAGGTCGGTCTGTATATGTTTTTTCTGATATTTGTCTCGAACACACTGTATATGTATTCATTAGAGTGAGAGGAGACGAGGATATGTCCGTACCCTGTTAAGATGACTTTAACGTCAATTTCCATCAAGGGACTCTAGTTCATCCTAATGAATTTATTTTTTTATCGAAAGTTGGGTAGTTCATCAGGGATCAATTCGTCTCGATGGAGTGTGCTTCTAATTTTTAAAGCAAATGAGCTATAACCTTTCAGTTACGAACGCACCGATATGAAATGATGTGAAATCTCAACCAACTAGTGTGACGTCAGCATCGAGGTAGAGGGGATAGACTACGGCCCGGTGAGATAGAGTAGGCCCTATATGGATACAAAGTTTTAGTGGAGGGACATTTGAACTGTGCCCATTTAACTTTGAGCATTTTGGCTATTTTGTAGTTGATATCTAAGATTTTATTTATTTATTTCAGTTATTGCATTACATTCTCTTCTTCATTGATACATTTCATACAAATAATATATAAAGTATAATTAATTTTCTAGTAGGAATGACATGAATGATCAGACAGTATAATTCCTGGTATAAGATCATTCATGAAGTATTATCGACTGTTGTATAATTGAAATTACAAATAGTGAACAAAACTTACATATCATTAAGATACAGTCATATTATAGTGATCAAGAAGGGGAAAAATAAAAACAGTAAAAAAGAAAAAAGGAAATTCATAGTCTTTCAGCTTTGATCATTGCTTTGCATATAAATATATTTCTTAACTTTATTTTTGAATTGCATAATATTTGGGCTGTTTTTGATATCATCTGGTAATTTATTGAATTTCGAAATCGCCTCATGTGTAAACTTTTTTTGCCCAAGTTTAGAATTTGTAGCTTCAAGATGAAACAAGTTATATTGTCTAGTGTGATGATCATGAATTTCGGAATTCCTGATTAATATAAAATTTGATTTAAGCTTTTTGTTGATGATATAATAGGAAATTTTTAGAGTATTGATTAAAAAGTGCTCTTCCAAAGAAAATGTGTTTGTTTCCTTATACAGTTGATTCGTTGGAGTATCATATGGAATGGATGCTTACACTTACTTGATTTGGTCCGCCGAATAGTTACACAGCTGTCTCAAGGCGTGGAAACTTTTCCGTATGGAATGTATGTTCGCCAGATTCATGAACTGGATCTCGCAGTTCGGATAATACTCGGGACATTCGCAGCCTCCTCCTCTGGCTCTGTTCGCCACCGCGGTCGTATACGATCTGGCGTCCATTATCAGAAACTGAGACGAAACGACAAATCAAAATCGTTCTATATAAGTCACTATTTTGTCGCACGCGTTGTTTGGAATTCTAGCGAAGCAAGGAGTACTCTAAAAAAACTAGTGCGACAATATGTCTTTCAAAACGTGTGTCATAAACTATTGTTTCTATTTTGCATTCATTTGTACTCTTATTTAAAAAATTTCATCAATTAATAAATTAAATAATAAACTGTAGAATAACTAACGAGCTAAGGAATTCAATTTCAACACCCTGTATATTTTACCGATGCAATATTTTATTACTGCATACTTGGTCTTATCGCCATATTTTGTTCCAAACAATCCACCCTTAGCCTATGTCCCAATAGTTATGACTCACCCTGTACATTGATACGAGAAGAGTTTGAGGGAGTTGTGAGTTTTACAACTACTTCACGAGAAGATCAGCCTACAGACAGTATGATTATCAAAACATCACCGTGTTGATTCATTCCCTTTAATAGCATCAAAATGTTCAGCATTAAATTGATCTCGATTTTCTAGCCACACCCTAGCTAATCGCGCCAATAATTCGCGAGATTCACGAAGTGGGTGACATCTAGGTTACATAATACTAACTTCAAACTGGGGGAAAACAAACTGTTGTCTATGGATAGAGTGCATAGGCTACATTGCATTCAGCTTGCTGTAGCTGTAGTCAAACTCGTTGGTAGTGATGATGGTTGAGTTGGTTAATTTTTTTTACATTATTACATTTTCATTAGTTTAGTGAACAGTGAACGGGTGAAGAATTGGAGATAGTTCAAACAATTCAAACTAATTATGACGAGCAAATCAACATGTTTACAATACCCAAATTGTCCTGCTTTGCATGAACAAATACAAATCCATTGTTCTACAGGAGTTCCTCTGGACCCTAACTTCAATTTTACTTCATGTGGGGAAGATTTCATCGCCGAAGTTTGTAGACAAAGTGCAAAAATTAGTTATTTTTGTATCTAGAGCGCGAAATGCTACTTTGGTGATCGAGATCTGATTTTTTTAACGAGGCGTAGCCGAGTTAAAAAAATAGTCGAGATGACCAAAGTATTTCGCGCTCGAGTTGCAAACAAAATTTTTTCTACAAACGTCAAAAAATATAGTTCTAAAGTGAAAATATGCTCAGCTTGTTATAAAAAATAGTGTTGAACTGGCTTGAAAGGTCTCCCCCTATCTTCCCTAGTTACGCACTATGTTCCACGAACATAATAGGAATTTCCTTTCGTGCGCTCCAAGAGAAAAAACAAAGTTATTGTTGAACATTCAGAAATAAATGATTTTGTGGATGTCTGCTCGATTGAGGACCATAAAGTTGAAATATAAATATCTCATATATTTTACATAACAATGCGCGAAGTAGGTACTTCGCGCACTGTTTTACTTCGCGCATTGTTTTGTGCAAGGAATCATGGTAACGTAGGAAACTGAAAAAAAGTGTCACTTCGCAATTTGCTATCAATGCGCGAACCTTGTCATTTTTTGACGTTTGTAGAAAAAAGCCTTTTGTTGAAGTCTTCTGCCTCATACAAAATCACATGATTAGCACGAAGAACTGCTTCTTCTTCCACTACTGGTCGGCTTTCTTCGTCTAAATAGAGCAAAATATCTGCCAAAAGAACATCTACAACAGGCATTATTAGCGTTTTCGATCGAATATTGACAATTAATGTCAAGAAATTTAAAAGAGTATCACTCTTATCAGTACACAGTACACAAGCTAATGGCACTAATGGGTAAATGTAAAAACTTCAGGCACTAATGGGATTGAGTGAGAATTGAGTTTGTTTTCCCCCAGTTTTGACGTGGCTTTGACATGGAACGATGAAAACCGAGCGCCACCTGGTAACATTGATTCCCGCGAATAATTCTTACTTTTGGAATCTGACGAAAGTCAGTCGTCATAAATTTACATATGACATAGAACATTAATAGTAATTGGAACTTAAGAGTATGTAGCATTTAGGCGACTGAGATTAAGATCATAGCGCCAGATCGGCGAATGCCGGTACTACTCTATGGGCCAATGGAGGTTTGTTTACATTGTTTGGTAATGGTGTTTATGTTCATTTCGTTTAGAGTTTTCAAACGTTCAGCTTTGTTATTTGTATATTTTCAAACTTGTTTTTTTTTCAGTGGTTTATTGTGTTTCAATTGGGGGCTATATTATCTCTGTTCAACATTAGATAACCTACCTACCTCTAGTTGAAATTCATATATACCAATATACATAAGCTGTAAGTTTTTATCATCATTGAACAAGAATTATCATGGAAACCTGCGTGGGTAGTTGATTCCAATTCGAAGAGATTGCTAGGATAATCCCCTGATAGCATGATATTTGCAGAAGGAAATAACGCATACCTTCTGGGAATAAAATATTCTTTGGAAGGTAGTTATATATTTTTTACTAGACTTTTCACAACACAATCATCAAAAACCTTTATTTATGTAAAAACTTCACAAACGATAAGATTTCCACAAAATTCTCAAACACAGGACATGTTTCCCTAACACAGTAGCTTCGTCAGGTGATATACTGGTACAATGAACTAAACTAACGTTGGCTTGTTCAACTTTTATATATCTTACTTTCCCAACCTGAAGGATTAGTTACCTGTGGACAGGTACGATAAACCTCCATTTTCGGAAATAAGGCACAATATCTACATTAAATTACGGTATACTGGATTAACTCGAGTCTTTTATTTTCTACATGCAGAATTTCGAAATTATCGTAAACCTTTTTCCAAGTATACCTCCCGAAGATACCATACTTTTAGTTGAGCAGTTATTAGATAAAAACCATGTTAATCCGATTATCAAACAAGAGATCTTAGACCTTCTGTCGATATGTCTCAAACAAAATTACTTTCGATTTGACAACAAAATATATTCCGCGTCAAAAGGGTTGATTATGGGAAATCCTCTGAGCCCTTTACTTGCTGAAATCTTCATGGACAACTTGGAGCGAATAATACATAAACATTCAGAAACAACGCTTCTTACAGATTTTCTTTTTATAAAGGACCCCGCACTTTTTCTATATAAAAATGGCGTTCCGTCGAATTTCCCCAATTTTTGGTAAATGATAGTACTCGACATACTGATTGAATATGCCAAGTCCCAACTCAATCCTATGACTAGTTTACGAGATACAGGGTGTTGAAGTTAAAGAATACCTAATTTTTCTCGGCCTATATCTCTAAGATAGGACAAATGAATTCCAATTTTTCGGGAGCACGTAATAGTTATGCCCTTAGGCGCAAGAACTATATAGGTATTCGACCAAAACTGATTTTTATTACAGGGTGATTCTCATTTCAAATAATGTGTTTTTTTGAATATCTGAATATCAATGCTACAAATTGATAACAATTACAAAATGAGATTTATAGCCAAGTATGCTCTTCTTACATCAATTGAATTCGTAAAATATAATAATTATACATGGTGTTTCATTAATGCTGTTGATTGCATAATTGGTCTATCCTAAAGTTCATTGGGCCACCTCGTATTATCGGGTTGATTCCAGACATTCAAAATATTTTTGAAGGATGTATCCCAATGAGTTCCATGATATACAGAGTGATTCATCGATTGAAAAAATTGACAACCACGAAAAAATATTCAAAAACCACTATTTTTTTCATCACCCTCTAATTCGAAATTATTACCGTCGATGTAAGATTTTTTTCCACCAATATACTCAGTATGGATATTTCAATCAAATTGGGAATTTTCAGACCCATGCTATGACTAGTTTTTTTTATACATCGAATAATGTGAAAATAATTATGGAAAAGTAATTACATAATAACACGAAAAATTGCTCCGAATCGCAAAACTAGTAGTCACTAGTCAACTATGTCAAAAAATGTGATTTGTTCGTAAACAAAATCTAGTGGTCTTATTATAGGTCCGCTAGCAAAACATCTCGAAAATGTTTTTCAGAAAACATCAAACAAATCACAATATGCCCCCGAAAAAATCTCATCAACGACACAACTATTCTACGCACCCCTTTCATCAACTTTCAACTCATCAACGATCCCACTCATAAACGTGCTAAAACTCATGAGCGTTCGAAGTCGACAGCGGTTTTTCCCAACTCAATCCTATGACTACTTTTAGAAAAAAGTATGAAACTAAACTTCCGCAAACGCCTAGTAAGAGGTGCGCGTTAATATATTTTGCAACTCTCCTATATCCAACCAACTTCCAATCTTTTGACCATACTGTATATTGTTAGAATCGAAGTTAGTATATGCACATCGCAAAGACACTAAAGTTGGAGTTTTGGTTATGTAGATATTCGTTACCGGGTTCAGTATAGGCCTGAAAGAAAAATGTCAATTAAGAATTTCAATCACAGATTTTGAAAAAATAGACAAACCAACTCGTTTCCCCACCACCTGAGAGGTAGAGTTTCAGGCGCGTTTTTTTTATTGTGGTATCCCCTGTAGGCCTAGTCCACGTTAGAAAGTGAAAGTTCCAATACCTATAATATGATTGTGTGTAGGCAGGATTGGCGCAGTGGACGAGCACCCGAGTCAGGACTGCGGGGTCGTGGGTTCGATTCCCAGACAGCGCAAGGAATTTTTCGAATATTAATATACGAATTAAATATTGTGAAGTTTCGGAGCATCGGCTGGGGATAGTCCTGCACGATTCACTGTTGCGTGCCTACATACAATATAGATACATGTTCAGAACACTATGGGCTAAAGGACCTCATTAGGGATCGATGGTTGGTTGGTATGTACATACCTACCAACGAAGGACATATACTACTACTACTACTATAATTATGTTTCACAAGGAACACAGAAATCAACTAATCGCCAGATTCAAATCAGTTCCGGACCGATGTTCATATTTTCAGGATTCAATCGATTTGCAGCATCGTCGATACAATAATTCAAAAGGCGATCAGATGGAAAGGTAATATTTCCTTGGTTTCTTGCGTATCCAAGGAACCATACCACACTGGCTACGTGTGCACACGTCCCTAATGTTCTAGCACCGGACCTACAAGTACAGTAGTACCCTAAAATGGGCGGATCTTGTAAATTATTATCATCGATTTCTCTGAATACTAACCACAGCATATGTTTAGTGGCATTTCTGAACCGAGAAAATACTCGAAATCTTAAAAAATTGGGTTCCTCAATGAGTTCGTCAATATCGAGTGTATTTTGTTCCCCTCCATCTCTTTGTATCGTGTCTTGTATGTAGGAGGCAGCTAAGTGAATGTGATATGACCCTGTGAGTGTTTTCAAATATTCTAAGTCAAGTCGAGGAAACGTCGGTACATGTCTATGGTTCAAACGAAACCATCGACCATTTCTTGTACGGAGGTTTTCAGCCTCAACTCGGGCCTGAACAATGTTGACTTCTTCGATATCATGCAACATTTGTGTAGCTAATTCCAATGTGCCCGGCATCCTTATTGGAGGATGGTATTTGTTTATTAGGGCGCCAGCAATCAAATAGAATTCGCGTAATTTTGCAACATGTGTTATTGATATCGCTCCTCGGAAAAATTTGAAAATCGATTTGAAATGCCCATTTCTAGCCTCTACAATCCATCTGGTGCTAGTAATTAAGCGTGCCCTATTAGTTTCGATTGTTGTGAGTTGTCTTTGGTTTGGTGGTAGAAATGGTGGCATATGGTAATGGAGACCAAGATCCTGTAAAAGACCAATAGAGTCCCTATAACCCCTATCGACTATCACTACATCGCCTTCTTGAAACCATGTCCTCATTCTATTTATATCATTCTGTAGCTCATGCTGCAGAATGGTGGCATCATTATTTCTAGCATCAGAAAAGTATGGACCATTAATTGCCAAGATGTAGCCATCAGGAGCGACCATAATTTCAGGCTTAACCAGGTGCTCATTTTTATGGAAGCAGTAGGATTGTCTCAATATCCGGAAATTACTACTTTTTTCTATTTTGTTATATGTACAGTCTATATACACAATTGCTTTTGGGATATTGGGAGAAGGGTTGTATAGCTGATTGGTGTATACAGACACGTGTCTATTAATATAATCGTCTCTTGTAATAGAGTCGAAACCAATATTATTAGTTACAAATCTTTGCATTAGAGATATCCTCACATTCGATATTATCAAGCTAGTTGTTTGTCTTGAAGAAAAATGAAACAAGATTTTCAAAAACTCATCTGAAACTCCATGTTTCATTTTGATTAGAAATGTCAGTAAATGTTTCTTTTTGATATGCCTTCTATTTCCCCCTTGCTCGATTGTATCACAAAATCCATAAAGTTCTTGAAAATCTTCTTTTGAAATCGACGTCAGAGCTTTGAACTCTTCTTCTGTAAAACTATCAATATCATCCCAGTTTCTAATACGTCTATTTTCATTGGCAACTGTTCTCATACACTGTAGAAATTGAAGCATATATGATATCAAATAGGGTTTGTTGATAAAATTCAAACCTCCATGCAAATTATTCAAGAGAAATCCATGAGGGTCAAGATGATGACCACAAATTCTCAGAAAGTCCGGAACATAAATATTCGTTACAACAAAAATGTTCACCCTACATGCAAGAGTTATTCTCTGAACATGTTGACGAGCATTACAGATTATGCAGGCACGGCTCATTACTGGACTTAATACATTTAGGCGAAGACAGTTTGGGTTATTTTCCATCTCATTGATATCAATTATTACACTGTTATGACAATTGAAACAAACTCTGGTATCATCAAAAATGTCAATTGGAGGATTTCCAGCAGCTTGTCTTCTAAATGTTGCAATTTGCAGAAAATCAACATTATCTTCACGATTTATACGAATTGTGAGTCTAGGAATGAAATTCCCTTCGCATACATAACATCTTACCCTATTTGCAAATGCCATAATGCGCACTAAATTCACTAAACAATTACTGAAAACGACTTAAAAAACACTCAGAATAAAGATATACGCTGATATGATATTTTAAGATACTGACAACCCGAAAGTTGCTGGATGACAGACACATTTATTGATATCATGATTTTGTTTTCTAAGCCTACTGAAAAATATTCTATCTGGTTGCGATAATCCAAATTCGACTTCTACGAAGTAAAACATACTTATTAATTCGTGACAACCCAAGTTTCTAGACTAATTCGACCCCGCCGATTCCGAAAATATCAGTTGTCAACTTGAATTGGGACTAGAACTTACCCTAAAATATAATTTTATAGTTATTTGAGGATGTCTATCGATCTATTACGGTATGTATATCTTACGATATACATTACCTAATGCCACTATTTCTTCCAACAAATAGATGTTGTTGGAAAACGAGTTGGTTCATGTATTTTTTCAAAATCTATGATTGCAATTCTGAATTGATATTGAGTGGAAGAAAGAGGCTTCGAGATTGTTTCATTATTATTTTACTATATTTTTGATGTGTTGGATAAATGATGATTCCTCGGTACCTACTGATCTTCCTGTATTCCATTTTTCTTTCAAGTCTATACTGAACCCGGTAACGAATATCTACATAACCAAAACTCCAACTTTAGTGTCTTTCCGATGTGCAACTTCGATTCTAACAATATACAGTATGATCAAAAGATTGGAAGTTGGTTGGATAAAGGAGAGTTGCAAAATATATTAACGCGCACCTCTCACTAGGCGTTTGCGGAAGTTTAGTTTCATATTTTTTTCGAAAAGTATAGTCATAGGATTGAGTTGGGAAAAACCGCTGTCGACTTGGAACGCTCATGAGTTTTAGCACGTTTATATGAGTGGGATCGTTGATGAGTTGTGTCGTTGATGAGATTTTTTCGGGGGCATATTGTGATTTGTTTGATGTTTTCTGAAAAACATTTTCGAGATGTTTTGCTAGCGGACCTATAATAAGACCACTAGATTTTGTTTACGAACAAATCACATTTTTTGACATAGTTGACTAGTGACTACTAGTTTTGCGATTCGGAGCAATTTTTCGTGTTATTATGTAATTACTTTTCCATAATTATTTTCACATTATTCGATGTATAAAAAAAACTAGTCATAGCATGGGTCTGAAAATTCCCAATTTGATTGAAATATCCATACTGAGTATATTGGTGGAAAAAAATCTTACATCGACGGTAATAATTTCGAATTAGAGGGTGATGAAAAAAATAGTGGTTTTTGAATATTTTTTCGTGGTTGTCAATTTTTTCAATCGATGAATCACTCTGTATATCATGGAACTCATTGGGATACATCCTTCAAAAATATTTTGAATGTCTGGAATCAACCCGATAATACGAGGTGTCCCAATGAACTTTAGGATAGACCAATTATGCAATCAACAGCATTAATGAAACACCATGTATAATTATTATATTTTACGAATTCAATTGATGTAAGAAGAGCATACTTGGCTATAAATCTCATTTTGTAATTGTTATCAATTTGTAGCATTGATATTCAGATATTCAAAAAAACACATTATTTGAAATGAGAATCACCCTGTAATAAAAATCAGTTTTGGTCGAATACCTATATAGTTCTTGCGCCTAAGGGCATAACTATTACGTGCTCCCGAAAAATTGGAATTCATTTGTCCTATCTTAGAGATATAGGCCGAGAAAAATTAGGTATTCTTCAACTTCAACACCCTGTATCTCGTAAACTAGTCATAGGATTGAGTTGGGACTTGGCATATTCAATCAGTATGTCGAGTACTATCATTTACCAAAAATTGGGGAAATTCGACGGAACGCCATTTTTATATAGAAAAAGTGCGGGGTCCTTTGTTGATGATGAAGGATTAATCCTTCGAAACATGTCCTTATGTCCATGACCTTTGGTCATTTCTTGCGAATAATTTAAAAACTAAAAATGACACATCAAATTCCCTTGCAGATAAATGTTCAGCAGGAAAATGCGCAATGTTGCCTTAATTTAACTGACCTCGTATCTCTTATAATAACTGGGATCCCCATGGTGAACCTCGAAAAACATTCACCCTGTATTTTCAGACACTTTTTTTTTCAATCTTCAAGTTATGAATACACACCTTTCTTCTATCGATCACTTCCTAATTTCCCAACTTAGTATCAAATACAAATTTGGATTGTCCTGATTTTGAAAAGGTATATGAAAGCTATATTAGGGATATATTTATACTTCCATTGAAACACAACTACTTCTCATACAAAACACACGCAAACTGATGTAAACAAAGCATCCAATAGCCCATATGCTAGTGATATTAGACAAAGGTAGATGGCGTACTCCTTGGCAAGATTCACCTATAGCAATGATACAACAGTACTCACTTTCTTTTCTTGTACGCCGATGTTATTGGTGATTTGCAAGGACTCGTCCGACTGATAGGAGCCGGGCGAAGTGGACAAATTCGATTCCTTCTCGAACGTGCGGAACGAGTGGTCGAAACTGCACGCGTCCGATATGGCCTTGATCAGATCCTCGTCCTCGGCCGACCTCCAACCCAGCCAACCGACTTCAGGCTGACTGGAACGAACTATGACCGCACCGTTTCTTGCATGTCTTGAAAAAATAAGTAGACGTAATGGATTTCTACACTTGATATCATGAAAACTAAGGAATTTATTTGAAATGTCGAGATATATCGATGGATGCTATTATTCTGGTTTAAAAACCATTATTGTTCTGAAATTTTCCATGGGAGAGTAATCTGAATCTACAGAAATAATATGATTTATCCATAACTATAGGTCAATTACCCTTTTATCATTCATCTCAAAATTGATGAAGGAAGCCATCAACATTGAGTTGGAAAGCTCCAGAATCAATTTTCAATAGACAATATGGCTTTCGCCACCGAAGATCAACTGGAGATTTACTTGTCATCCAAGCAAGCTTCATTATCATCGGATATATCGACCGGCATTCGACCGTGCTCCTCCACGTACTACCATCATAGGTCAGCTATGCTTGTCTTTCAGCAAGATCGCTTCATGTGGTGATGGACGGAGTAGTGTCTGATACCATCACCATAAATTCCGGCGTTCCACGTGGATCTATTTGTTGGGAGCAACCACTTGCACTATCCAGAGCTTTGCAGACGATAGTACTTTCCATATTGCGCTCTCTTATAAAATTACTATTTCTTTTCAGGAAACTAAGAACTTGAAACGATCTTGCTGAAATTACAGCCTGGGGAACCTACAACCTAGTTGAATTCAAGGCCTCCAAAACTCAAACCTGTATTTTATCTAGAAAGACGGAACTCAGTATGCCTGATATAACAATGTCTGGTACAACCATTCCTACCAAGACCACTTTATCCATGCTCGGCTTTTCCATCTGCAATACTCTCTTTCAATGGACTTGGATTTTTTTACACCTCAACAGCTTCTAATGATCTACAAAGCACAGATGTGGCCAATGGAAGTATTCCCAAGAAATCACAACCTATAAAAGTTCATTCCATCTAGAGAAGAGCAATCCGCCTGGTTGGTGAAGCCACACTCACTAATGCTTTGACTTTATTAGAACACCGTAGAAAAGTCACTCTTCTATAGATACTTCCACGGGAAATGTTCCTCAGAAATGTCTGCTATAATTCCATCACAACTGGACAATTGAAAATTGAGTAGGAACAGCATCATGCTTGACCTTCGAAATTTCCAAAACTATTGTTACAGTTTTTCCAGTTTCTACAGACGTTACTGTAATGAAATGAAATTCAAAGAAAAAACATAAACGCAAAGTCGGTCGACCACAAACTTTGTGGTCGACCGACTTTGCGTTTATGTTTTTTCTTTGAAAAAATCTGGACCACTTTGAGAAGGATGGATGGTTTCCATGACTTAAATAAAATTCTTTCAGTGGATGGATGCTTTCAACTTTCTAGATCGGTCAAAAACCAAGATATAACTGAAAAACTTGTACTTTTGTACATTCTTATAATTCCCACAGTGCTTTGGTATACAACATTTATGAGGCATTGTTATTTTGCCAAACACAACACGAAAGATTCCACAAAACAGTATTTATTCCCATGAATTTCAACAAATAATGTTTTCGATCGTGCGTTAGTAAACAAACCAAAATCGCGACTAAGCCAAGTAGAGTTAGTAGATTAAATAAATTGACAATAGACCTCCAAGACAGGTGGATGCACCTCCATATTAGAGGTCTGATCAATCAAAAAATGGTACCGCATTATTGTCGTCACCCTATGAAGTCACTCTAAGCCTAAGTAGCCGTATGAATAACCCTTCGCCTACCATAGGAGACGTATCGAGGTGCTTACGTCAGAGCATTGCGGTCTTTTCCTTTGGTCGCAACGGTTTGGTACGCTGCTCCCAACTCACTCTTCGTATCAGTGTAGCAGATAAAAATAATTCATCATGAATTATCATGATGGATCATTCTGTTCACAAAAAAATTATTTCTCATTTCAAATACAGTGCACTTTCAATATCTCCAAAATACAGAACAATTAAACATACTCAACATCTTTTGTAGAACGAAATATAATGCATGGAAGTCATAGTTTATTGTGGATTGCAGGAACGAAAGAATATAGATAATGATGAAGAAGATTGGAATCCCTAGTTTCATTGCCTTCTGTCACTTGAAACTAGGACTTTCCACCATGTTTACCATCAGAAATATCACTGATTTCACTGTTCAAAAAAAATGTATTTCTCAATTCAAATACAGTGCACTCTCAGTATCTCCAAAACACAGAACAATTAAATATACTCAACGTGTTTTGTTGAATCAAATATAATGCTTGGAAGTCCTAGTTTATTGTGAATTGCAGAAACGAAAGGATATAGATAACGATGGAGACGATTGAAATCACTAATTTCATTGCCTTGTGTCACTTGAAACTAGGACTTTCCATCATGTTTACCATTAGAAATATAATGTACCTCCAGACGACGGCAGGTATCCGCCTGGAACTCCGGAACTTTGCGACGCTCTCCAGCATGTCATCGTTGATGCAAGACGGGACGAGCAGGTACGGCGGATAAGTCGGGCAGAACTTGTAATTCTCGTTGACTTTAGAGATCCTCCAGGAATGGCCTTGAAACTGATGTCTACTCATCTGAAAATATCAGGAGAATAAGTGAAAAACTATCGATAGTTTCGGTAGTTTTTTCAAAAACAATCGATACTATCCATGGTACTGTCGATCTATAATTCAGTTCGAAATATATATTTGTCCTCATTCTCAATGTATTTTTTTCCACTTAGATCAATACTGTGGCGAAAACAGGTGATATTAAACGCATGAATAGCAAAGAACATTATATGTGGTCTATATGAATGATTCAGGTACAAATCATCAGGAACAAAAATCTTTGAAATATTGAAGAGAAAAATGAATAGCAGAAAACTCATCCAAATTGAACATTTTGAATTTAACTACTTCAGGCAAGTGCGATCCTGAGGTGGATCTTTAGGGGGATAGCTAGGTTTGTTTTCAGAATAAATCAAATTTGCTGTTTCATTTTCAATTTCCATATTTTTGTAATTTTCTTGTTGATTTCATTTTCACAATTTATTCTATGAATGAAATTCAAAAATCGATCTGTTTTGATGATCTACCCCCTCTGCCCCACATAGGACCGTCCATGACTTCAGATTTGAGCCTCTCTCCTGTCACTGATTTATTTGACCAGTTACAACGAAAACATTGTTCCAACATTATAATTTTCATTTGAGTCTATTCTCCTTGTTGAAATTGTTTTTTTAGATTACCTTAGGAGCTGACCTCAAGAGCGATTTTTTACTTAACTGTTGTTCGGTGACTGTTGAACTCTGGGAGTAAAAATAGATTGGTTCCTGTACTAAATTTGGAACCGATAGTTTATCGATAGTATTCAAAAACTATCGATTGTTTCGATAGTACAAAACTATCGATACTATCGATCGTCTTCCACCACTACCCTGGAGGTAAAACTTTCTCATTTGTTTACAAACGATTGAAATAGTTTTTCACAATTATTTTGGCATTCTAATCGTGTTTTTTGGGCTATATACAGGGTGTCCGCTAAAAGGAGGTCAATCCATTAACCATATATTCCTTGAACAAAAACAATATGAGTTTCTAAATACCATTTTTCATTTTAGCCCTTCATATTCGATATACAGGGTGTCAAAGTTGGAAATTAAAAACTGTTTTTTTCTTATTACTCGCGTATTTAATAAGATATAAATCTCAAAATTGGTACATTACTTCAGCACAAAGAGTTACATCGTGTGAGGAGAACAAAACAGAAAAAAACTGTCAAATATTCGAAATACTGGGGGTCGAGTACACACTTACCCCCATATTTTTTTGTACGTGTGCTAATGACTTCCTATATATTTTTCTTCAAGTGTTCAATCATTTTTGAGTATTTTTTGTTTCTTGTAAAATTTCGATAAAATTATTTGTTTTCAAGATAAATCGAAAAGTACTGGTTATTGTTTGATGCCTCGTGGCTTATGGTAATCTCATAATGTTCACATACTCCTATTTATTTCGTCGAAATTGGAAGAGGGCGTATTTTTTTACGTACGAAATGGTTTATATGGAAATACCGGGTGCTCAGAGCGAATGTATTAAAATTATTTTTACAAAAAAAAAAAAAATTATTTTAATACATTCGCTCTGAGCACCCGGTATTTCCATATTTACCTTTCCGTGCGTAATACGATACGCCCTCTTCCAATTTCGACCAAATAAATAGGAGTATGTGAACATTATGAGATTACCATAAGCCGCGAGGCATCAAACAATAACCAGTACTTTTCGAATTATCTTAAAAACAAATGATTTAATCGAAATTTTACAAGGAACAAAAAATACTCAAAAATGATTGAACACTTGAAGGAAAATAGATAGGAAGTCATTAGCGCACGTACAAAAAAAATATGGGGGTAAGTGTGTACTTGACCCCCAGTATTTTGAATATTTGACAATTATTTTCTGTTATGTTTTCCTCACACGATGTAACTCTTTGTGCTGAAGTAATGTACCAATTTTGAGATTAATATCTTATCAAATACGCGAGTAAATAATAAGTAAAAAAAAACAGTTTTTAATTTCCAACTTTGACACCCTGTATATCGAATATGAAGGGCTAAAATGAAAAATGGTATTTAGAAACTCATATTGTTTTTGTTCAAGGAATATGTGGTTAATGGATTGACCTCCTTTTAGCGGACACCCTGTATTTATGGAAGCATGCCATCAAATTGTGCAGTTGTACAATGCACAAAATATTCAAGGAGAGACGAAGGAATACGATTTTTCAGGTAGGTAAATTGTGATCTAAAATTACTGTAGTCACTCACATAGTTTTCATTTTGAAATTTCGTCATTTCTCTTTAGAATTCCTTCTGCAATAGGAGCTAATAGAAAGACTTGTGACGTTTCTAAAAGAAGGCAAGAAGCTTGGATTCGTACAATCAAAAGGGACATGGACATGCTGACGAAATATGGTCGTGTGTGTTGTAGACATTTTTACTTTATTAGCTTCTATTGCAGAAGTGGCAGAAGGAACTAAAGAATGACTACAGTACTTTTAGATCACAATTTACCTGAAAAATATTATTCCTTTCGTCTCGCTACATTTTTTTTGCGTTGTACAACAGCATAATGTGATAGCATGCTTGAATAAATAAATAGTCCAAAACACGATTCCTTTCAATCCATCGATTACTTTGTGAATAAATAAAAAGAGTGAGGTCATTTTACCTCCTGGGTGGGTCATCTGTCAGATGTACACGCGACCTATAAACCCAAAATATCTCAACCACACTTTTCAAAAACAAAATACTGTCTAATAGCTATCTCTCAAGTCTCAGTCAGATAAGTCAGATATCTGCAGGATAACCTATACTATACCTACATTCTACATAATTCATGTTCTGTTTTGTGGTAGTGTTCAACAATATGGATAATAATATGAATGAAATGAAAAGGGGGAGCAATTTCATTCATTAAGAAAACAACTTATTGGATGAAATTCAAGTGAATCCTCAATGATTTATAATATTGACGATACACATTTTCTTTCTGCATCCTTAATATTTCATTAAAATCATGGTCATCCCATTCTCCTAAATTATCCACTCTTTTCCTTGCTGGATAAGGCCTTCGTTCGTGTTGGAGAGTTTCCACTAATTCCAACACGATTTCCCACAAAATCCATATTATTATAAAAATCAAAAATAATCTTAGACAAAACATAGACTGGAGCAGTTAGGTTAGAATTTCTATGTTTGTGTACAGATTCCACATCGGGGATATTTCTTACCTCTCAGTTACTTCAGTGGAGAAAAATTAGAAGAAAACAATATGAACCCGTTTAGCAGGTTAATCTCATGTAACGGATAACTATCTAGCGGATAAAATCGGCAATTGATGAACCGTCCCTCAGAGTTTTGATTGATTGATTGTTTTTATTACCCCAAGAAACATATCTGTTTATAATAGGGATACATGAACACATATTATAAAAAGGTCAACTAATGAATTCCACTCAGTGTAAACAAATTCATACATTTTCTTAAGACGAAAGTTATAACATTTCAATTCTGAGTAATCAAATCATGCCAAATATTTTTCAATCAAATTGTCCTGACCAGGTATTTTTCAAGATTGACTTCAAATCTACTTACAACATGTATATTTTTCAATCCATTCGGCAATGAATTGTATAAAATTATTCCATTATGAAATATAGATTTGTCTAGTCCCATAAGTATGGACTGTATTGACTTCATCAAAAGCTAAGTTCGATATTTTGAATTTATTACAGATAAAATGGATAAAACAACATATTTTGAGATTATATAACAAAATCAGATCTAGAAATTTTCTAGGTTTGTATATATTTACTGTTGATTCTAGAAAATTTAGATGAAAGATGCACTTAATTGATTTGTTTTGTGATTTCATTAGTGGTTTGAGGCGTGAAATATTTGTGCTCCCACAAATAGAAATTGAATATTATAAATTTGAATACATGAGGCAAAAGTAAATACACTTTAGGTATTCCACTGGAATGATATTTCGGATTTTGAATAAAATGCCTACGAGTGGATTCATTTTGATTCTCAAATGGTCTATGTGTTTAGTCCACAATGAATTTTCATCATTATAGAAAGCTAAAATTTTGTCACCTCTGTATATTTAATGAGCCTATTGTTGAAAGATGTTGCATTATTAGAAATATTACATAATCTCTTGGAGATATACATGATATATGAAGATTTGTTAAAATTGAGAGTCAACTTATGAATTTGCATCCAAGCAAATCACTTTTAACATCCCGTTCGATATCAGTTAATTCTTTCAATACATAAATGAATGTTGTATCATCTGCAAACAATTTGATCTTTCCTTTCAATTTCAAGGTTGATATTGAATTTATATAAATTAAAAATAAAATTGGTCCCAAAACTGATCCTTGCGGTACTCCACATGTGATATTCATAAATGAGCTACAAGTATCATTCACTTCAACATACTGCTTTCTATTTGTCAAATAATTGGTGAACCAATCATGAATTCTTCCTCTTACACCTATCGAATATAATTTATTAAGTAAAATGGTATGATCTACAGTGTCAAATGCCTTACATATATCTAAGGATAAGGAGCCAGATTTTAAAAATTTTCATCTATCCGTGACTGGATGTCCGAAATTACATTCATCACTGCTATCTCTGCATCCTTTGACATACGGAATCCATATTGACCACTGTACAAAACATCGTTATTTTCAAGGAAATCAAGTTAGAGCAGTCCTGGCACAATCACATGAACATATCTCCGATAATATCCGAGAAATGAGCATCGATTCCCAAAACCTACCTCGTTTTCGAATGATCTTCGATCGAAAGTATAGCGACGTTGGTTCTCGATTTGACCAATGACGTCATCGCTGCCCTTCTCTTTCGACCAGATGTAATGATAGAAAGCGAAGAGCTGCTCCACCTGCCTCGGAGGTTCTGCTGCTTTCAGGATACGCTCGTACCACACCTGACATTTCTCATTGTTTTCAAATGTACACCTGAAACAAATGAATGAATTAATGGCTTTATTGAATGAAATATCCCAAACATATCAACACAATATCAACATAGGGAAATAGATCCCTCTTTTGTTGAACAAAAAAGAACATAATGTATGCTACCCATTGACAAGAGATTTTGACAAAGACACACGAGAATCGTTGCATTCATACCAAACTTTCGGATATGTGTGTCTACAATAGGCTGTGTAATGTCCGGTGTAGATGGAACCGATATGATTGGACATGAAGGTCGAATCTGCCAGTTAGAACACCGTCAGTCGCGTAGTGACTTAGGTCTAAGCCATTTAAAGGAAAGTAGACGATGTCGTTCTTTGTCTCTGTGGACCTGTCTATCTGTGAGAAACGGTTCAGGTGGAGAACAAGTATTTTTGGAACATTTTTCATTGAAATTGATTTCAAACTGGAATGCAAATCAATAAACTTTATTCCACAGGGTTCGTAATCAAACTCACCCTAGGAGACATAACTTAATGTACCTAACATTGCTGTTTTGACGTTTTTGGATAATTAGAGTACGGACATTATGACAAGCACTCACAGTCAGACATAACCACAAATAAATTGATGGAAAAAGCGGGAACTGACAGTAGACGAACGTACATAACATCAATTTCAAAGGTTTGTCAAATTGAGAAAATTGGAAACATGAGATGCAATTTGTGCTTTTTCAAACTGTAAATACTGGGTGTTGATGGAGATTGTTTCAATAATATTTTGATGTGTACACTCGTGGTTGATGTTGTTATGGTGGAATGTGAATAAAGACAGTTCAGTTGTTAGTGAAATATATAAAAGGGAACAATTTCTACACAATTACTTCAGCATATAAAAACAGAGATTTACAACCTCTGGTTTACTTGAGTAGAAATAAAACTAATATTTAAGTCCGAAATACTGGGCGTTTTGTGAAACATAGTCACTTTGTGAAAAGGATGGACATATTTAAGAGATGAATTGTTTGCGTATCGCTTCTCTCAAAGATGAAATTTCAAGTCTGAAGTGCAGGATCTCTACCGCTTTCAGTGGATTTCGAAAAACTTCTCACTTTGAAAACATGCTGACAGGACAAGAACACTCATCTAACCCGTGCACCATTTATTGTTATTGAAAATGATCTTCCGGTGGCCAGATTCGAACCAATAACCGCTTTTGCTATGTGAACGGCCATCTAGCGAGTCGAGCGCTAAAGTCTGTACAACCATATTGTGGCAATATTATGGTGTCCCGTTCTGAATGTCTTGGAAAATCTATATTATTCATCTCAACCATTATCCTGTTATTGTGGCCATCATTTGTTCATCCAAATACTCATTACCTACCACTATCAAATATGCGAAAATGTTCCATCTCAGATGAAAGTATGTTTCATTGGTTGTAATTCATCAATTTTTATCCCATTGTGAACATTTGTGCTACAAAAATTATTGAACTGAACCACTGAACGTATAGATACTTTTCTCTCAGTTAATTATCATTTCATAGTAATAATGTACGTCATTGGTATACCTATATTTATATACCAACAGGCCATCGACCTCCATCGAGGTCTTTCAGTCCTATTATTCCAGAACTAATTTTCTAATCAATTTATCTTACCCTCTTTCTCACTCGAGGAGACGCTATGCAATCTCATTCAAAATTGAATGACGAAGAATGATATACAGATATACTCTTTACTGAACGAATATACGAGAAGCCTTTATCTAAGCGAATTGTCTGAGGAAACATATGATTTACTTTAAAATCGTTCTTGCTTATGTCTCACTGTTACTGCTCACTGCTTGTCAAGTGTCCGTACTTTTAAATATACAAAAACGTCAGGAAGCAGTGTCAAGTGCATCAAGGAACTCTATTCACGGTCGCCATGTCATTGGATGATGTTGCAATAACATTAAGAATTACGGGAAAACATGTGTACCTTTCAATCTAACCCAGGAGTTAGGATGTTTTCAAGTAGTTGAATTTCATCCCAACGTCATCTTTGTGTAAAGTATATGAAAATGCCGACTGGCTCATGAAGGTTAAATAGCTTAACAATGATATATTATGTATAAAAAAAATGATGTTTTGTCAGTGGTATAACCCAGTTGGGCAAGGTTGAATACACACACAAACGATGATAAGTTTCACATAACTTGGAAGGAAATTCGAAAGTAAAAACTGACTCTTATTGTTTGTGTTCGCTTTCCATAGGCATCTCGCACAAGCCATTTTAGGGCATCTGAGGACTGTTGCAACACCCAAGCTGAAAAGTTACAGTTTCTTTCCGTTCCTTTTGAATTGAAATAGGTGATGAAAATATTTTCAGAATATGAATGGAGGTCAAGTTGTGCGGAACTGATTCGTTGTGACGATTTCAGAAACGTCCTCTCACCTGTAAGTTCTAGCATCTTTGCAGCCGATGTAGAGATTGAACAGTTCCTTGATCTCGACTAGCTCTATCAATCCAGACGGGATGTGGTAGGGCTTGTTTCTCGCCTGCAGGTACAGCCGATAGTTGGTCACGATAATGACGCCATCGACGGATATACCTAGTATAGCAAAATTTCATGAAAACCATGATCATGGAAATTCAGGTAAAATTTCGAGGGGGCAGACCATGAGGTATGAAATCCGTCCAAACCTTTTCCAATCCACGAATCATGATTTACATTTAATGTACAACCAATATAATGAGTTAAAGTTGAAGGGAATCGAACCAAAAGAGTTTTGAAATCAGCATATTCCATTCGATATGTCAAAAAGCCATATGTGTAGGTGGAGCCGTGACGTATTAGTCCCGAACATTGAACTTAATCTAAACAACTGGAAGGGAGACCACCCCTGTGTCAGGGGCAGTTGCAACAAAGATAGCTTGTGTTACGGTAAACTGTCTCTTCACACTCGTGTTGTTTAATGGCGGATTGATGTATAAATTCTCTTTTATCCAATAATTGGAGTACTTGAGATCTTTTTTTATCTAAACAGCCAAAAAAGTGGGGATAGAACTCAATTCTTCTTTGTTATATAAAATCTCGCTAAATTTGGAGTGTTTTGTTTCTTTTAAAGTTAGTTAGTTAAAAGAAAATACCAAACGCCTCGTTTTCAGAGGTCTGATAAATCGGGGATTGCAATAATTTTTTATAAAACGTAGAGAGCTCACAGCAAGAAACGGTTTGCGGTGGTGAGCTACTTTGGGTGAGTTCTATCGAATTATGAAATAATTTTTTTTTGTGATATAAGCCCATTTTAAGGACGATGTTTCTCATATAAACATTGATTTGCCTTCAACTTCCAGCTCCCAAGTTTCAAAGTTTATTGATAATGAAACCCGCAAACTGTTCCAATCCAGAAGGGCTGTTCTATTGCAAAGAAAAGTGAAAACACTGAAACCAAAAGTAAAAAGGGGAATGACAATCTTGATGAGGTACTAAAAAACATTTTGAAGGTTAAAACTATAAGTTCAAATGTTTAAACTCAAGAGCTACATCGCGAGCTACATCATATTTTGTATTTTCAGGTTTGCCTTTGGAGCTTCTTCCTCTCCAGAAAGGAAAAAATGAAGGTGTACATTCTGGGCGACACAGATATTCATCTTGATGAAACAATTCGTCCAAACATTGTTCTTTTATTCACCTTCCATTCACCTTAAAATATACCTTAGGTACTCAATACCCTACAAGAACCTCTTCTGAAATTTTTTCTATCGTTTTTCTTTTTCTTCTGATAGTGCTGAAACATAGAGCTTCGCTCAACCCGTACAATATATTGTGACATTTGAATGAAAATATATAATTTCCATTTTGTATCAATTTGACTTCCTAATTCTGTTAGAATAAAGATGAAATTTCAATTTTAAGTCAATAAAAAAAAAAATCAATAATAATTTTCGAATGATAATTGATTCCAATATTATCTTTTTTCCTAAATGAATATTTATATTTAATCTTAAATAAAAGCAAAAAACGAGAAAATATTTCAAATAATGCAGGCGCTCCCCATTAGCCAACATAAGATAGAAAGATATAGGTATCCGTAACCACTGCGGGTTGCCTGAACAATATTTTTGCCTCACTCGTCGTTCACAGAGGATACTTCCTTGAGCTGACCAATCACACTGTAACACTGCAGAATGGCATCAGAGAGAGATAGCTACAGTTCGGTACTAATACGTCACGGCTCCACCTTCTGGCTTTTTCGCTTTTTTATCGAATGGAATGTGCAGATTTCAAAACGCTGTATATTCGCTTTCCTTCAACTTCCACTTATAATATTGATTGTACATTAAATGTAAATCATGATTCATCGATAGAATGATGTTTGGACGGATTTCATCCCTCAGTGGTCTTCCCCATCATTATTATTATTATTATCATTATTATTATTATTGTATACCAGAATGTAGGATGTTCTCTCCATGCAATAAATTGAAGGGAATCTCTTGAAGACTTGTCGGCTGCAGTGGGTACATGTGAATGGACTGGACGTGACATATGGAGTTTGGCTGGTCTGAGCTGTCCATGATCTGAAGAGAAATACCATTAGTCCACGGAAAAAAGGTGAAACCGTATTCGAGTGTATATTGGTGTCCTAAATAACGTCTCAAATGTGTCTGTTGTAGGGGGCTGTCAGATATATGGCAGCAATTTTCACTATATTTATTGGTTTTACGACCAAAATATATCCATTGAAATGGATTTATGAAATGATTTTACCTAAAAAAATTCGATGAAATGTTCTCTTCAGAGTGATACCTCGAGCTTATACTATCTTTATATGGAGAATCAGTAGGGAGAAATCCATGAAAATGTGCATGCTTATATTTTAGAATACGCTCTCTTGGGTTAAAATATTTTCGAGTGTATTTAGTGTTGTCCCTTCTACTAGAAAGTAGTAGCAACATCGATATTTCAAATGAAAGACCCTGTAATTTATCGCATTTTTAGATTCTCCCTGAAGAGCTGATTTTATCGATAAGTCATACTTGGGGCCTATCGAAAAAGATTACAGAGATATAGGGTGTTCAAAATCGAGATTGTTCAACTTTAGGATTTTTCTGTGTCGAAACTATTCATTATCGGTAACAACGGCTCACATGTTCCAATCTCAACTTTTGATTCACTGTTTACTGATATTCAATCGGAACAGATACAGGGTGGTTCAAGATTCAGAATTCTGATCACCCTGTATCTGTTCCGATTAAATATCAGTAAATATAATGATGGAAATAAGTAGATGGTGTACTTACTGATGTGCTTTTGTTTCAGAAATTCTTCTCGACATCCCGAGAGTCCTGTGAACAATGTTTTTAGCTGTTTTCGGATAGATGGCGACATTCCACAATTATAACATCGGGAAATTTTTAAAATTGCTGCAGATTTTTCGAATTCAGAGTTAAATAATCTCACATATGTTACATATGTTCCGCGTACCTAAAATGCCATTTGCCATTTTATTCCCACTCGTCACAGCAGCAATAGCAGCATCACGATCTAGCGGAAAAATGTAGAATAGTTTTCAATACGTAAAAATGACCTACTACGCGCACCATCTACTTATTTCCATCATTGTAAATACTAAATCACAAGTTGAGATTGGGACATGTGAGCCGTTTTGGATAATAAATAGTTTCGACACAAACAAATTTTAAAGTTGAAAAATCTCGATTTTGAACAACCTATGTCTCTGTAATCATTTCCGATAGATCCTAAGTGTGATGTATCGACGAAATCAGCTCTTCAGGGAGAATCTAAAAATACAATAAAATACAGGGTATTCTATTTGAAATAACAAAGGTGTTGCTACTTTTTGATAGAAGCGGCAACACTGCATTGCTGAAAATATTTTAAATGAAAAGAGCGTATTCTAAAATATAACCATGCATATTTTGATGGATTTCTCCCGACTGATTCTCGATATAGAGATAGTGTAAGCTCGTCGTGACATACCCTGTATAGACAAATTATATTCCAATAGTTATTTGTTTTACTAGGCAAAAGATTTAATGCCGTGGTGGCGTTTTATCCTAGGCGTAGCCGAGGCTAGGAAACCAGCCAAGGCATTACATCTTCTTTTTTGTCATGTGAAACATATCATTTTTTCTACAAATTCTTTTCACTTTCACACAAAGTCCAAATAAACCACAATTTTTTGTTCACCGAAAGTCATTGTCAATTTTGATTACCAATTTGATTCAAATTACTTGGAACGTTGCATAGCAACAAACTTTTTCTGCCTAGGCAGTGAAAGTACAACTTTTTTGCCTGTTAAAGTGTCATTAAAAATCCACTTTTAATGTCATTTGGAGAATTTTTTTTCTCTATGCTATGCAACGTTCCAAGTGATAATTCGAATCAAATTGGTAATCAAAATTAGCTGGTTTCCTAGCCTCGGCTACGCCTTGGCTATGAAACGCCAGCCGCGGCATTAAATCTTGTGCTTTTCTGCCAAGTAAAACAAATTCTATTTTTGTACAGAAACGTAAAATGTAAAGGAACAATCAATAGTGAATATGATTTTTTTTATCTTGATGCAATGGAGAAAAAATATTATAGAGGCCGATTGTTTTTATCTTTTGGAGCGCCCGAAAGGGAATCCCTATAATGTTCGAACAACATCGTGCATACCTAGGGAGGATAGGGAGAGGAGGTAGGTATTGGAATTGTTTTTGAACTTTTGGAGGTTATCAATTCTTGGAAATACTTCCCTTGGTAAAGCTTTGCCGTTCTATAGACAAACTAATTTTGAAAAAGTGTCGTTCGACATATTTCAAGGTTGACAACGAAAGGATGTGCTGACTGGATTTATCGAGTTCGCTTGGTATTGCTAGTGAAAAAGTGGAAGGTCGCCGACTTTTCTAAGGTGTTTATAGTATAGTGTTTATAGTATCAACGAATAGCTCTTCTCTGGATAAAATCCTCCAAGAGCATCGGCAAATGAGTTCCATATGTGAGAACAGTATTCTGAAACATGCCGTGTCTGTGCTTTGTAGGTCTTGAGAAGCTGTTGAGATATGAAGTAGATTTTCACACGGAATAGCAATCCGAGTCTGAAGGAGCTTCCGCGATGACATCATTTTCCCATGAAAGAGTATTGCTGATGGAAATACCGAGCATAGATATGGTGTTCTTGGTGGAAACGATGGTACCAGACATTGTTATATCTAGCATACTGAGTTCTGCCTTTCTGAAGAAAAAACTTGGTTAGGGAATCACTATAAAGTGTGTCTCACTTCTGATGGAAGTATCCCTAACAAATGCCAGTCTGGCAACCAGCCACTCCCGTATTTCATTTGAAATGGAAATTTGCTTTGAAGTGTATCTTCCCAGGTATCTATCCTTCTCCTCAGGTGGCGTTCGTATCCATCTCGCATATGCCGAACGCCTCGTGAGTAATAAATGCTGGGATGTGTTCAGGTTGGGTCAGGTTCGCACCAGATGGCGGTCAAGAAGTCATCTGGAGACACCCCTGCACTGATGAAAGCCGAAAGCTCGAAACCGGTCTGTAGGTAGTCTAGCGTTTCTGAACAATTTGGGCACAGCTCAGCCATTGTCGATCTGAATAGAGAAGCTAATTAGCAATGTTAACTAGCTTTTCCATTCATATCGACAATGGCTCAGCATCAAGGAAAGAATCACTTGCAGCTGTATTTGTCTTTATGCACAGTTTTCGTTCATTCCGCCAGTCATGATCGCGTAATCGCTGTCAACAGCGGGTGACATATAACTGTTAAGAATTATAATTCAGACTGTTTGTCCAAACTTTATGATGTACTATATGGCAGTAGGTAAAGTATAGTACGTAACTCATGGAATTACGCACTCGCCTCTCCGCTGCTGCGTGCGTAACTTTTCATTCGTGCGTAATATGCTTCTTACAACACATATTACGTAATATAGTATTACGAATTGTTGCATATCGGGAGGATGTATTTAAATGTTCTACGTGGCATATAGCAAGGAAAATAGTTGTTTTTCTCTCATTTTCCAGTTATCTACAATTTTCGTTCATTAAATGAACAAATGTAATGACTTTCGAGTTTCTTCCTCTTTGCGTTAGAAGCAACTGTAAGAAGAGGATATCTTCGTTAAGAAAATGATGGTTATAATTTCGAACATTTGTTATGAATTTAATTTTTTTTCAATTGCTGTTCGTGTTGTCAAAGTTGAGTTATCAACATGAAACAATTTGAAGCGCTGCTTCCAATAATTCGGTGATTTTTTTTTTCAAATGATTTTGTATTGAATAACTACATCAAAGTTTCACTCGGAATGATCAGAAATAAGTGGAACTAATGGTATTTCCTCTTTGAAATTTCGAAAAAACATTGATGATGACTAAGACTAGGTCGAAACATATTCAAACCATCTTGTATGATACATGATTGAATACATAATAGAATAATCTTAGGACCGTATTTGCAAAAAAGCTTATTATGGTTCTACGAATATGAAACGTCACGTAGAGAAATAAATATCACCACGTTAAATATTATCAAAAGTTGCTATGGAAAAGTATTTTCATTGTTTCTGTATCTCTAATAATAACGTAGACAAAAATAAGAAAAATTTTCCAAATTTTTTTTTCATATAACAGAAAAAGCAGTAGGGAAAATCAGTCTTGGAGATCTTTCCTTCTGCCACAGAGGGCGTTCTGTCCATGTCGCAGTGGTCGAACGCCCCGTGGGTTATAAATGCTGGGAGGTATTGACGGTGGGTCAAGTTCGCACCAGACGGCGGTTATGAAAGCAATCTGGGGACACCCCTGCACTGATGAGAGCCACAGCTCGATACCGGTCTGTAGGGAGTCAAGCATTCCTGAACAATTTAAGTACACTTGCAACTGTATTCGTCTATTCAAATCGATGCATAGATTTCCAGGAGGATGTGATACAATGTTCTGCGTGGCATATAACATATAGCCAGGAAAGTAGTTGTTTTTCTCGTTTTCGTTCATTTTATTAACTATTGTGGTAATGACTGAGTTTCTTCCTCTTCGTTAACATTTCATTCCAATTGAGTGTCTTTGCTTTTTCCTAGTAAAATGTTGAACATTTTCGAAGGCTGCTGGTATGGCCTTCTGAATGTGCAACTTTTTTCCTATTTAACCGAATTGATATCTCCTTCCGTTTCCGAGATCTGTACAACCTTATCTTGAAAGCACTGTATACTGATGTTCATCATCATAGGAAAAATAATGTACAAAACTCATGGGGTAATATACTATACTGCATGAGTTAGGAACATGATTTTTTCCAAAACCAATAAACAAATTCAATTTTTTTTTGTGTCTTTTTTGACATGATTACTGTTGACAAATTTTGATTAGTTGCCCTCATGGCTGCCAATAGGATCTGTGGAATTTGATTGTGACCCAACATCATTCTCAAATAACTTTTAGGAGGTTGAAGACTATCAATTACGAATTTATATGAATTTGTACTAAAAATTTTACAAAATGAAGTCGAAAATATATGAATTCTAGAATGGAATAAGTTCCAATAGTGGAACAAACATTTAACTG